TGCTGACACCCGACTCCCTGGACTACTACAGCAGCAACGAGAAGGGGGCCAGGCGCCTGGGCTCCCTGGTGCTCACCAGCCTCTGCTCTGTGCTCTGGCCAGACAAGCAGCTCTACAAGGAGACGGGTGAGGTGCCCGTGCCCCTTGGCCGGGCTTCATCTTCCCAGCACAACTTGTACCCTGTGTTACCCTCCCAGCCCCGAGGGCCTGTTTTGCCCAGAGGAGAGGCTGTGCTGAGCCCTGGGGCGCTGAGCCAGCCTGGCTGGGGTGCTGGTGGGCAGTGGGTGAGTGGGTCTGTGCCTTGCAGGCTACTGGAGCGTGACGGTGTTTGGCAGGAAGCACTGCTACCGCCTGTACACGGAGCACCTCAACGAGGCCGTGCGCTGGGTGTGTGCTGTGCAGAAGGTCATTGACAGCAAAGCTCCTGTCCAAACACCCACCCAGCTGCTCATGCGTGATGTCGAGGTGAGCCCAGGCACCGGGCTGCCCATGCCCACAGCTGTAGGCAGCCCTGGGGTGGGTGTTTGGGGCCTCACATGCCCCAGGGTGGTGATGGGGGTTTGTGCACTGGGGTGGGTGTTTGGGGCCTCACATGCCCAGGGTGGTGGTGGGGGTTTGTGCCAGGTTACCCCTCTGCAGCTGTTGCTTTGCCCTCCAGGAGCACAGAGACAGCCCCGAGATTCTGGAGCAGATCTATCGCTGCAACCCCATCCTGCGCTACACCAGTGGCCCCCTCTACGCCCCCCTGCTGCCCTTCCCCTACGGCAGCCTGGACCAAAGTGGTGAGCAGCAGATGGGGGGCACAGAGCTGGGTCCTACACTCTAGGCTGGCAGCAGTGATGGCTGGGATGGATGTTCTGGGGGGCAGGTGGGCACTGGGCTGGGGTCTGGCTGGCCCTGGCTGTGAGGGCAGTGCCCAGCTGCTGGCAGGGGCTCCTGGGGAGGACCACGGGGCTGTTAACCCCTGTCCTATCCCACAGCCCCTGACCCCTGCAGCTGCACCACGGGGCTGTTAACCCCTGTCCCATCCCACAGTCCGTGGCCCCACAGCTATGCCACGGGGCTGTTAACCCTCATCCCATCCCACAGCCCCTGACCCCACAGCTACACCTCAGGGCTGTTAACCCTCATCCCATCCAACAGCCCCTGACCCCTGCAGCTGCACCACGGGGCTGTTAACCCCTATCCCATCCCATCCCACAGCCCCTGGCCCCCGCAGCTACACCACGCTGCGTGACGAGGCTGTGAAGCTCTTCAACTCGCTGCAGCAGCTGGAGTCAGAGCGGGACCCGGTGCCGCTGATGCAGGGTGTCCTGCAGACCTGCCTGGACCTGCCCCCGCTGGTGGATGAGATTTACTGCCAGCTGGTGAAGCAGACAACGGAGCCGCCGGCGCCGGGCGGGCAGGGCGACCTGCACTACTGGCAGCTCCTCACCTGCATGAGCTGCACCTTCCTGCCCTCCCCGCCTGTCCTGCGCTTCCTGCGCTTCCACCTGGACAGGTGAGTGCCAGGGGTGCTAGCTGGCACCAGGGAGCTCGCCAGGTGCTGGGCACCCCTCAGATCAGTGCCACCCTGATTCTCCTGGCATTTCTTGCAGGACAGAGAACCGTTTCCCTGCCTCGGAGATGGCCAAGTACGCCTGTTTCATCCGAGAGGCGTTGGGAAAGACGAAGGGGAGGGAGTGTGTGCCCTCTCTGGAGGAGATCCTGGTGCTGATGCAGCGGCAGGAGATGATCTGCACAGTGCACTGCCCTGGGGCACCTGCCTGCAGTGTGGCCATCAGTTCCCACACCACAGCCGAGGAGGTGAGGGGCTATGGCTGTGCCAGGCAGGGAGGCTGGGGACATTTTGATGCACAGGGTTGGGTGGGCAGTGTGCCACAGCAGGTGAGCAGGTCTCTCCCAGCTGAGCCATGGTGGAGAGGGGCCAGGAGCTGTCTGCCTTTGCCCACCATGACCAGTCTGTGTCCCTTTACAGCCCTGAGTGCCGTGGCCAGGAACACGTGGTCACCATCGGTTGCCTTTGTCTCGCCCAGGTGGCCCAGGAACTTGTGTCACGCCTGGGGCTGTCCCAGAGCCCCAACCTCTTTGCGCTCTACGAGCAGTCCCGGCGACGGGAGCAGCCAGTGGGCAGTGCCACACTGCTGGCTGATGTCCTCACCAGGTTTGAAAAGTAAATGTCCTGTTCTGCTGCCTATGGAGGAGAGGGGCTGGGGGGCCACGGGTGGGAGGGGGCAGATGGGTATGGGACACATCCACAAGCTGATGGAGCCGCTCCTGTCTGCTGCAGCCTGGCTGGAGAGGACCGGGAGCAGGACCCACCATGCCGCCTCTGCTTCAAGCACTATGGCTTCCTGGACACGGACAACGTCCCACGGGACAGCCTGGAGTTTGCCCTCCTCTTTGAGCAGGTGAGTGGCACGCTGGGGTGGCTGTGCCGTGGTGGCCATGCCGCAGTGGCCGTGCCAGCTCACCCTGCTCTCTGGCAGGCACACGAGATGGTGCTGCGGGGCTACGTGCCCACGTCGGAGGAGACGCTGCAGACGCTGGCGGCCCTGCGCCTGCAGAGCCTCAACAGCGACTTCTCCACCCACGCGCCCTTCCCGCGCCTGGAGGAGCTCTTCCCTCCCCACGTGCTGCACGCCCGCCTGCCGCCCCTGCCCCACCGGCCCCCGGCCAAGTGCCGCGGGGCCCGGCTGCGCGCGGGGCTGCTGGCCGGGGGGCTCTGGGGCCAGGCGCTGGCCAAGCAGCGGGCGGAGCGGGACCAGCGCCTGCGGGGCCGGCTGCGTGAGGAGGGGGCCAGCACCATGGCTGCCATCGTGGAGAAGTGGAAGCTGCTGCAGGGCATGGGCCGGCCCGAGGCCATGGCTGCCTACGTGGCTTTGGTGCGGGAGTGGCCTGGCTTTGGCTCCACGCTCTTCGATGTCGACCTGCAGGCGGTGAGGCCCCGGCTGGGGGTGGTATGGGGCAGCCCTGGCAGTGGGCAAGCCTGACAGCCCTCTCCCTTGCAGAGCCCAGTGGGCGCTGGGCCCCAGCGTCTGTGGCTGGGCATCGGGGCCAAGGCTGTCTCGCTCTACAAGCCGGGAGAGCCTGAACCCTTGGACAGCTTCTGCTACGGCCGCATCTCCTCCTTTGGTGCCTCTGACAGCAGCACCTTCCGCCTCTCCGTGGAGGATCGAGACCTGCTCTTTGAGACCTCCCAGGTAAGGGGCTGCCATGCCTCCACCCTCCCCTCTCACCAAGGGTGCCCCAGACTGACCCCCTGTGCCCCCTCTCCCTGCAGGTGGATGAGATCGCCCAGCTCCTCAAGACGTACCTGGCCTCTGCGGGTGCCCAGCGGCTGCCCCGGCCCCAGGAGCCTCCCACCAGTCCCCCCAGTCTGGAGCCCCCTGTGCTGCCCCAGGGGCTCTGCCCTGCTCCCGGACCCTGGCAGCACCGGCCACCAGTGGGTTCCTCCCACAGCTAGCCCAGCAGCTGCTGTGGCCACGCAGGTGCTCCCATGGCCGGCGTGGGAGGGCAGCCAAGCCTGGCAGCGAGTGGCAGCTCTGTGCTGGCCCCCAGCTGCTCCAGAGAGCAGGGGGCCAGGGGGTCGTGCTCCCCCACTGCCATTGCCTTTCTGGCTATTCCCTTAATTTATTTTGAGACGCCTGCGCGCCCCACGTCTCCCAGCACTTTCCCTGGTGGGCAGCGGGGCCACCCTGCTGTGGTCCCCCACACTGCCCCCAGGCCTGTCCCTGTCCCCTATACCCTGGTGCCTTTGCCTCCAGCACTTGTGTTGCCTGGCCACCCTGCTCGTGCCCTGGGCAAGCAGAGGGTACCAGGCAGTAGTGCTGTGCCATCATCTGTCTGTCCGTCCTCTGGACCCACCCCTTCTGGAAAGCTGCGGGCGGCTTTTGGCCAAGCTGCCCTGGGGACCCACGGGCTCCTCCTGCATGAGTGGCTGGGCTCTGCGGTGGCCCTGTGGCCAGGTTGATGTCACAGGGGTGGATGGTGGAGTGGCAGCTGGTACGGCTGGGGCTCGGCCCCTCAGTGTTGCCTCTGTAGAGTTTGTTGGTTCTGTCTTGGGATGGGGGGGGGTTGGTTGGTTGTTTTTCTAAATAAATGCACAAAGGAAAGGCTGGGCCTCCTGTCCTGGAGCGTGGGCTGACAGCGGGAGGCTGGGACAGTCGGATCCCTGGGGCAGCCAGGGCAGCAGGGCCTGGAACAGGCAGCGGGGAGGAGCAGCACAGCGTGTCCTTGGGGGCAGGGACTGCTGTCCCTCTGGTCATTGCCAGGCGACCTTTGGCATTTCACCAAGAGCACAGGCAGCTCCAGCTCCCCGGCAGCCCCTGGCACTGGCTGCCCCGGCGGGGGGAACTGCCCCAGCCACAGGGGCTGCTGCCAAAGAGGGCGTGGGAGCCCATGCTGCCACCGTGGCTGTATTTTTAGTCACCTGCTCTGTGCCCCAAAGGGTAAGAGGAAAATGCTAATTTTCACCTTGGGCTGCCTAGGTTTGGGATGGCGCCAGCACTGCCCCTTGTCCCCAGGCCACAGCCCAACTCCCACAGGTCAGGACCAGCGCTGCTGTGTCCGTATCTCCTGACACTGTCCGGCCTCCCACCCATGTCCTTCCTGGTGTTGCTGTTCCCTGCCTTGGATCCTGAGTGGTGAGGGCACCTCCAGCCCCTTGTGGCCCACCCCTGCAAGGGCCCCTCTCCTGCAGGAGATCCATGTGGGTGCTGTGTGCTCTGCAGGCAGGGCGGTGCCAGTGCCAGCCCTGGTCAGCCGTGCAGGCAGGTCCTGCCAGTATTTCTGGCTCTGCTGCAGCAGTTGCCCAGTGCTGCCTGGGCCCCATGGCACTGCCAGCCGGGGCAGAGCTCGCCCTGCACACCCCAGGGCATGTCAGTGAGCAGTGGCCATGGTACTCCTGTGCAATGGGGCTGGCTGGCTGGCCAGACAAAGCAGGCACCAACCCCTGGCTTCCCTGCCTGGCTGTTCAATCTGGAGTCATGCAGGCAGCATCAGTGCAGGAACAGCCTTTATTAAAGCAAAATAACCTACAAAAATATAGATACAGCCCGTGCCCCAGGCCTGATCTGGCCAAGGAGGAACAAGGCTCCCACCCAGGGCAAGGACTAGCTCAGCCACACGGAGCCTTTGGCCACGGGGGTTGTGTGCACCCAAACTCAGGGGGCCAGGCCTGTTCCCAGCCCCAGGGTCACTCTCCTCCTCCTCCTCCTCACAGCAAGTGTTGCTCCCACAGGCAGAGGTTCCCTCCCAGCAGAGCACGCAGCTGCCCCAGTCCTGTCCTGGGCCAGGGCACACGGTGGGGCCGGGGCTGTGCCCCGCTGAGGAGCTGCAGCTCCCCACAGAGAGCTTTCCACAGAGGAGCACTGGCACGAGGGCTCTGCCACGCCAGGCAGCGCTGAGGGGTGACAAACGTGGGCACGGCAGAGACGAGCCCTGCCGGCGTGCGTGGGGGTGGCCACGGACCTTCCCGTCCCCTGGCAGGGCACTCACTGTTCCTGCGTGCCCCAGGAGATGTAGTCGGGGCGTGTGGCTGCGTGATACTCATCGATCAGCTGCTGCACGATCTCCCGGGAGTTGTCCAGCTCGTCAAAGTTGTCCTTGAAGATGTCCTCCTTGCGGAACTGCTCCAGGAAAGCCTCTCGCTTGCGCAGCTTGTCGTACTGCCGGCACGTCCGCTCGAACAGCTGGGGAGCAGCACCGGGTCAGGGCGGCCACAGCTCCCCAGGGAACCTTCCCAGAGGAGCCAGCAGGACTTGCGAGGACACTGGACCTGATCTGAGCCCTGCTGGGAGCCACCCAACCCCGTCCCTGGCTTTGTGACAGGCCCAGAATGAAGAGAAGAAGATGGATGAAGGCCGGGGATACAGAGATGGACAATGCCCAGGGACACAGAGATGGACAATGCCCAGGGACACAGAGATGGACAATGCCCAGGGACAGGAGAATGGACAATACCGAGGGACAGGAATATGGACAGTGCCCAGGGACACAGAGATGGACAATGCCCAGGGACAGGAGGATGGACAATGCCCAGGGACACAGAGATGGACAATGCCCAGGGACAGGAGAATGGACAATACCGAGGGACAGGAATATGGACAGTGCCCAGGGACACAGAGATGGACAATGCCCAGGGACAGGAGGATAGACAATGCCCAGGGACAGGAGGATGGACAATGCCCAGGGACACAGAGATGGACAATGCCCAGACACCACAAGGTCTGGGGCTGCAGGGCCTGGCATGGCAGGGAAGGCACTCACCGAGGAGATGTTGGTGTGGTTGGCCATCATGAGGCCACTGACACGGTGAGCAGATGGCAGGTAAGGGGACTTGCGGGACAGAGCCACCTGGATGCTGGCAGGGCCCCAGGGGATGAAGTTGGCCAACTTCCTTTCCCGGATCCTCTGCAGACTCTTGTGAACCTGCAAGGATGAGAACAGCAAGGGACAGCAGGGTGAGGAACAAACAGCCTGAGCTGCTCCTCACAGCCATGGGGAGTCATTTCAGCATGACTGCTGCCTTTCCATGAGGCCAAAGCCCAAACAGGAGCAACCTGAAGCCAGCTCTCAGGCACTGCCTAGCCTCACCCCAGGATCCCTGCACACTGACCATGCTCTTCCCTGTGCCACACCACGGCCATCAGTACCTGAATGGGGACTCACCTGTGTAGGATCCACCTCCCCCTGGATGATGTTGAGGATGGCAATGTAGCAGTGGTTGGTCTGCCTGTCTCGCCCTGTGGACACCATCACGTTTTTAGGCTGCAGCAACCTCCTCATCACGTCCAGGACTGTGGTTTTCCTCACACTGGCCACCTGCACAGGCCAGCCAGGGGTCAGAGGGAGTAGGTGTGCTGCTCCCTGCCCTCCTGCTGCCTGGTACACACACACACACACACAGGAGCAGGGGCAGCTGGACAGAAATGCCCTCACCCCGGGGATGGAGTCACATGCAAAGTCACACGCAAGACAGGGAAATCCCAACACTGCACAACAGGCACAGCCAGGCCAAGAAACAAAGTGTCAGTGGGGGCTCCAGCATGGGGGCTGTCTGGCTCCCACCCTGCAGCACAGCAGGGGCTGGGGGTGAAACTCAGCTGAGAACAGAGGGACGGGGACCTGTTTTATGTTGTTGCTGTCAGACATGGGTCCCGTCTCACTGCCAGGCAGGGAGCAGTGGGGGTTCAACAGCAAAGGGGTTGTCCCCAGCTGCCTGATCCCTGCCTTGCCCAGCTCTGAGCTGTGGGCAGCCTGTCCCAGAGTGCTGTTGGGGCTTTTCCCAGCTGCTGCTGGCCAGGGGGGCCACAGCCAGGGTCAGCACCCAGCCTGCCCACAGCAGGGACAGCTGGCTGAGGTGGCAGCCCCCTCCTGCACTGGTTGAGCCCTGCCCACACTCCTCCCTTGGAGGACAGATCACACACTGATACCCTTTTCAGAGCCAGCAGTTTTTCAGATTTGCTTCTCTGAGAAACATCCTGAGGAAATGCACACAGGGAGAGGAGAAGAGCAGCTGTTAGTTCCTTCCAGGCCGTGGTGGGTCAGTGCAGGTGAGCACCTCCCAAAACAGAACTGCCCCACTGGCACCAGGGGGCTGGGGGGCACTGGTTAGGGACCAGCCAAACACAAGAAGCAGCACTTGAAGTGCAGAGGGGTGGCAAATTCACTCTCAGACACAGCCTGAGCTTCAGGAAGTGGCTGACACCTGTAGCCCACTATCAATGAGCATTGGTGTTTGGACCCAAAGTGCCAAAGCTGATGGCCCACAGGGGTGGTAGGACTGGCAAGTGCACTCTCCTGGCCTTGCTCTCATCGCTGCTAAGGGTGGCTTTTGCCAGTCCAGACCCTGATGCATGCAGCAGGTAGCCTGGCACAAGCACAGCTGCCTGCTCAGGTCTGATTCACTGCACATGCGGCTGTCACGTGGTGTGAGCACACGTGGGTTGGGATTTGGGACGTGAGCCTGGGATCTGGGACGTGCAGTGACAGCTCACAGAGAGACGAGGCTGACACAAGATGCTGCAAGGTGAGTGTGGCAGCTTCTGTGCCCTTGGGGATGGGGAGGAGAGCCTGGGGCTGCCTTACCGACTGGTCGGTGGTGAGTGGTGTGTAGCCCGTCATGAGGAAGTGCAGCCGGGGCGTGGGGATCAGCGAGGCAATCAGCCCAATGAGGTCGTTGTTCATGTACCCGGGATACCTGAGCGTGGTGGTGCTGGCAGACATGATGGTGGACACCTAGGGGAGAGGACAGGCTCAGCAGAGTGTCACAGAGCGTGTCAAAATCTGCATCATGCTGACATGCCAAGGGAAGGGCACAGGGCCCTCACTCACAGCTCCAGGCTGCCCACCCCTGAGCCCAGCCCATGAAGCTGGTTCAGACTAAACTGAACACAGCAGGGAAACCCTGTGCTTGCTTCTCCTGAGGGAAAAGCCCTTCTCACCAGCTGGTTGATCTGTGAGAATGACGGGTTCTGGATGTGCAGCCGGTCTGTCGCGATCCGATTCAAGGCTGTGTTGTCCAGAACCACCTGCGAGAGAAACCTGGCTCTGAAGGGCCCCTGAGGCAGCTGAGGAAGACCAGTCCTGGCCATGTGTCCCATGGCACTGGTGGTCCAGCACAGGCCTTGACAGGAGCCCTCTGCACAAGTGGCAGACACTTGAAACCACGAGCTGACTCATGCATGGCACGTAACTGACACCATCAATGGAGCCTCTTCCCTCCCTCCTGGCTGAGCTCCCCATGCTCTCCCCAGGAGCTCTGCCCCACTGCAGCAGCTCCAGTGCAACCGCTCCTGCACTGCCACATGCAGGGAGCAGCTGCAGGGATGAGCAGTGTCTGGTGAGATGTGACTGAAGGCAGACTGGAGGTGCTGCCTGGCTGGGGATGCTGTGGGTGCTGCAAGTGACACAGGTGCTGCAGCACAGCTACAGAGAAAGCACAGCCAGTCCTCACTGCCTTGGCAAGATCTGCTGGAGCCAAGGCAGAAATGCCAGGCAGCTCTGCAGGGGTGAGCACCAGTGAGGGTCCCTGGGGCCACATCTGCTTGGCCCTTCTGTTTGGGGCGTGCTTGTTGCTGCACCTGGAGCTTGCTCATCTCCCCAGGATGGGCTGCAATTCTGAGCTGTGGGGACAGGGCCACCTCCTCAGGGCTGGCTGCACCACGGGCCTCTTACCACACAGTCAGCGTTCTGGGTCAGCCTCTTCAGTGTCAGCAGAGAGTTGTAGGGCTGGACTACAACGTCGCTCATCTCATCCTGGTTTGGGAACACTGAGTAGGTCTCCACCAGTTTCTTGGGATACCTGGTGAGAAGTGCAGCATCTCAAGGGTTAACACCATCAAGCTGCTCTCTCCCCTCCCACAAGCTGCCTTAGCAGTCTCCAGGGCTCAGGACAGGGTGAGTCACCAAAGCTGCAGCCAGAGTGGCTCCCAGGGAGGGAGAGAATGTGTCCCAGCAATGCCTACCCCAGCAGCACAGGAGCTGGCTGCCAGAGGAGCTACAGGGAGGCTGAGCCATCCACAGGCTGATTAAGCAGCTGCTCACAAGTCTTTTCAAGAGGATGCAAGCTGCAACAGGCCAGGATGGCAGCTCACAGCCTTCAGCCAGAGCCTCCCACCCTCCCCTGCACCGTCAGGGTGTCCGCAGGCAGCTGCCTGATAAGAACGGCTGAGGGAAGGCAGAGCTTGGACAGATCAAGTCCAGTTCCAGAGCCTCTGAAGTCCCCAGGCGTATCAGGAGCCAGCCTTGTGCAGGCAGCGTGCCAGGGATTGCACAAGGCAGTGTTTGGGTGGGGGTGGTGCCTCTGAGTCAGCGCTCTCCAGCTCCAGGCAGGCTGCCCGGGCTGGGCTGGGCCAGGCTCTGCGCTCTGGGCAGGGGACAGGGCTGTGCTCACCTGTCCAGGGCTGTGCTCACCTGTCATTCAGCCTCTCCAGGAGGTACGAGCCCAGCCCGGAGCCTGTTCCACCAGCAATGGAGTGGCAAAGCACAAAGCCCTGGAAGGAAGCAGCAGGCAGGTGCTGAAGGTAAAGCTCAGCCCCAGAGCAGGCAGACAATGTGTCAGCCCTGCTACCTCCAGCAGAGACTTGCCAGACAGGGCCAGAGCTTCTCAGAGCATGGAGGCAGCAGAGGCTGAGCCAGCTCCTCCAGAGCCCAGCAGCAGCTGCAGCTCCTCAGGCCACTGCTGCCCACACAGTGGGATCCACATCTCTGCACACCCCACAAAGTGCAACAGCTGCTCTCAGGTTCCTCCCACCCAGACCAGCATTGGAACAGCTCCAATGTCACCTCCAGGGTCCAGTCTGTCACAGGAAATGGAACTGCACGTTCTCAGCTCTTTCCTGGGTCCTTCACATCCCTCCCTCCTTCTAGAATGAGGCCAAGCTCCCAGTGCCTGGCTCCAGGGCAGCTCCCACATGCTCAGCTCCCACAACAGGCACTTGAATCTCCTGCCAGCTTGTTTTAGTGACGTTCTCCCTTCCCCTGCTGCCATGTCACAGCCTGACACGAGCACCTGGCAGCCCTGTCTGTCTGCACACAGGGTATGGGTTCACATGGACAGCACAGAGAAAAATGTCCCACAAGCAAACAGTGAGAGAACTTCTGGGGCAGGCTGGAGTGGGGATGGACAGACCTCCTGTCCCCAGATCCCCTCTCTACATGTTCTGTGCTCAGAAGTTCACTAAGCTAAGTCTGTGCTCACCAGAGTGCTGAGCTCAACCTTACAAAGAGCAACCTAGCTGGGAAAACACCAGGCAGGGCCACCAGATCCAAATCCCTTGTTTACTTACTTCCAAGCTGTCACTCCCATCAGCCTCTCTGTCTATTATGTCAAAAATATCTTCATGGATCTTTTCTCCCTGCAAGAGAGAGATCAGGACTTGTTTTGCTCCTTTCCCACACAGAACATGGACGAGAGCTGCTCAAGCTCAGTGTGAAGCTGAGTCAGAGTGGCAATGTGGTCCTGTGCCAGGGTGCCACACAGTGCAGGGACACAGGACAACCCCCAGGGCTGAGGAGTCTCACCCAGCAGCACTAGGGCTGGTGGTACCTGTGAGAAGCCACTGGCCCAGTTGTTGCCAGCTCCCCCTCCATGCTCAGACAGGTAGATGTTTTCTGGGTTGTAGAGGTTGGCATAGGGGGAGTTGAGGATGGAGTGGATGACTCGGGGCTCCAGGTCCAGCAGCACGGCCCGGGGGATGTAGTGCTCATCATCTGCCTACAACGGGAGCAAGAGAATCACCATGCTGCTGCAGCTCACCTCCTTCCCAGAGCATGAGCCACCCCTGGCTGCAGGTGAGGGCGAGAGGGAGGAGGGAGAGGCTGCTCCTGTGCATGAGCCACCCCCTGGCTGCAGGTGAGCCCCACACAGCGACAGGAAGGAGGGAGAGGCAGCTCCTGTGCAGCCTGTCCTCAGTACAGCATCTCTGTGCCCCCGAGCTCTCCCAGCCGGCGAGGGGGAGGAACTCCCGGTGCTTACATAAGACACTATGTATGGCAGCCCCAGCCTCGTGCCTCTGCTCCGCCTCCACAGCGCTCCAGTGACGGAGCGGGAGCGCGGGCGGGAGCCCGGAGCGGGCTGGGAGCGGGAGCCCGGGCTGAGAGCCGCTCGTGCCCGCGGGGGTGTGGAACGGGCACGGACAGTGAGCGGAGCCTGCCGGGGCACGGAGCCCCGCGGGGAGCAGGGCAGCTCACGCTCCGCGGCCCGGGGTTGCCGGTACCTGGTAGAAGAAGACGTCCTTGCGGTCGGTGCCCTCGGTGGCGAACTCCTCCACGATGCCCTCGGGGCTGATGCCGTGCTCGGCGCAGAGCTGCTTCCAGAACTCGAACCCGACTGCAGGGAGGCGCGGTCAGACGGGCCGGGCACCGGGGCCGGTACCGGGGCAAGGCCCGGAGCGCCCCGTCCCGCAGGCCCCGCCCCACCCGCGTGAGGCCCCGCCCCGTCCCGCCAGGCCCCGCTAACTGCCCCCCCCCCACCAGAGCATCCCGGCCCCGCCCGGTGCGCGCTGCCCCGGGCCCGCCGCGGCCGTGGCGCGCTCACTCTGGTTGCCGCACTGGCCCAGCTGCAGGGTGATGATCTCCCGCGGCATCGCGGCCGAGGCTCCGCTCTGCTCCACTCCGCGCCCCGCCCGACTCCGGTACCGCCGCGTCTCCCGCCGGCGCCAACGGCAGTGCGCGTGCGCGCCGCTCGCTTCCGGGGCAGCGCCTCCCCGGTAACGCGCGTGCGGCTCGGCAGGAGGCGCAGGCCGCGCATGCGTCAAGATGGCGGCGCGCACAGTGGCGTCGCAGTCGGTTGCTGGGGGCCGCCATGCCTGCGGCGGGCGCGCGCGCGCGGCGGGCGGGCGGATGTTGACGCCGTGAGGGAGCGATGGCGGCGGCGGCAACGGCGGTGGGGCCCGGGCCCGGCGAGCGGCAGCGGCGGGTGCAGGCGCTGAGCGCGGCGCTGCGCTGCCGCCTCGGGCCCTACGAGCCACTGCTGGGCGCCGTGCAGGCCGCGCTGGTGTGGGAGCGGCCGGGCCGCAGCGCGCTGTGCTGGGTGGCGGTGCACGGCCTGTTCTGGTGAGCGGCGGGGCTGAAACCGGGATCGGGATCGGGTGGTGCAGCGGCCCCACCAAGCCCCGTCACCGGGGGTCGGGGTCTTGGGGGAGCTGCCCCCGGGGAGGAGCGGTCGGTAAGGGGCCGCGGGTTTGCTCCGTGCCCCGTTCCGCACAGGAGAGACCGGGAGCGCTGGGTCTGCTGCAGCCCCGTCCCCGTGCTCTCCTTGTACCTGAGAGCATCAAACCAGCCGGGAAAACTCAGCCGACTCTGTGGCAGGGGAGGGAGGGCAGCCTGCCCGGGACAGGAGCTGTACAGCAGGGCTGTCCCGGGACAACTGACACGAGCAAACCGGAGTCACCCGGCAAATGCCCCCGGGGCACGCTGTGTGCGACTGAGTAGCAGGTGCTGAGTCTTCCCCCTGAGTGAGTGGTTTGAGGTCGGTTTGTGTTACCCCTTTTTGTCTCATAAACATCTGGCTGGTACCGACTCTGGTTTTTTTCCCCATAGGTTCTTTGCTCTGACTTCCCTGCGTTTGCTGTTCCTGATTGCTGTAACCCTCATAGTAGTAGTGTGTCTAGACCAGTGGAAGCACAAAATCTGGCCAGAAATTGGTGGTAAGTTGCATTTTGAGCTCATAGCAGCAAATCAAGCCCAGTTTCCATCCCCACAAGTACAGGCTCTGCACTGCCTGTAGTTACCTTGTCAAAACCTCAACTTTTTGCTTTAAGGGTCTAGAAGCCAGCAAGAGTACTGCAGGCATGCTCTTTCTGGAGCTAGAATATTCTAACCTGTGTAAACACAAGTTCTTTTTGTGCTTGTGACACTGTTATTTGTCTTGTAATCCTGAACCACAGGATGTACGTGACCTAGTGCAGGTTTGAGACAGTGATTCACTTTGTGAGCATTCAGTACCAGAGTGAGAAACAGAAGCATATGGAACTCGTCTGGATTCCCCCTCAGAATCCATAATCAGTTTAGGATGAAGACAAGTCCCAGCCTTGCTGTTGATCAGAGATGTCTTTGGGAGAAGAGGCATCTGAAGGGCTGTAATGAAGTTACTTTTCAGCTTTCAGTAACCAAAGCAGTTGTTTCCCTCCTTTGTGACATTAATACACTGATGAACACCCCCAATCCAAGTAGGGTCCCTTGGCTTTGCATGGACAGGTTAGTTTGGAGCAGTGTGAGGGTCTGCATGTTCCCAGGGCTGGTTCCCTGACTAACCAGCAAGTCCAGCTCCCAGCTTTCTGCTTCAATCCATGTTCCCTGTATTTCCTGGGAAGACATTAAAGCTTTCCTCTGTTTCAAAGCTTGGCTCAGGCTCCTTGTTAGGAGACAGTATCTGTCCAGCTTCCTCATCGCTCTGATTTAATCTCTCAGGGTGGCTGGTACATCCCTTTCAAGTCCCAGCCTGGGTGGGAAGGTATTAAAGGACTTAAATCCCTGATGCCTCCAGTCTGCAGGCTGTTCCTGCTGCCCAGCTGGTGTGTGCAGGGAGTGGGGGAGAGGGAGGTGGGAGCCTCTAGAGTCCAACAAACACCCAGGAGCACCGGGGAGACTCCTGCAGTCCTGTGCTGTCACACGTACACACTCAGGATTTGTTATGGAGTGATGCTTCTCCATCCTGTAATTACACTTAATGTCTTTTCCAGGTGTTCCCCAGCTTATTAAAGCTTTACTTAAATCCCAAGAGCTAAGCATTCCCATGGCAAATTCCTTGCGACTAATGTAGTGTCTGTTCTTAATATTTTAGTGGCAAGACCTGATGAATTAGACAATGAGAGGTAGGAAACTAATTGACTGCTCTGCTGTGATACTTTGCTGTGATACTGTGTTGTTACCTGCACATGCTTGGGATGTTGGCACCTTTGGGTGAGGAGGAGGAGGAGAAGGAGGGGGGAGGAGGGAGCTGGGAGCTGCTCAGCAGAGGGCAGGTGGAGACCCAGGTGCAGCCAGGTGGTCATGAGAAGTTTTTGATTTGCCCCAGCCATTTTTATTATACTTTGCCTTCATACCAGCCTCCAGATATGCTCGCTTGATTCCCTGCCCCCTGAAGTTAGAAGTGCTGCCTTAAGAGCAATTCATCTTGTGTGGGTTCTCCAGTAGCAGGAAAACAGCATTTCTGTGGGAATTAATGAAGTCTTCTGAGACTTGATAGGGAATATTTAACAGGCTTGTTCCAGCAGTTGTTTCTGCATAGTTATGATCTGACTGCAGCATTAATTATGGGTTGAGAAATGCTGAGGTGTTGCCTCACTGCTCACACCTGCCTCTCTGGGCACACCTTCCTGCCCCACTGCCAGGCTGTGCTGGATGTCAGTTCCTGATTAAATCACCTGACCTGCTGCCACAGGACAATTGTCTTTATTTATTTTTTTTAAGAGGCCCAAGCACAAAAGGAATTGCTCTTTTTAACCTTCAGGTACTCCTGATTAGCAGTTAGGCAACACTAACAAAACTGACCAGTTCAAGGCCTCCAGAGTAACATGAAGTGAGGTGCAAGGCTGCTTCTAGACCTCATGCTGAACATTTGGAGGCTGCAGTTGACCAGATAAACACAGAAAAAGTAAATGGATTCACTTGATTTGCCTCTGCACTGTGCACTCCCTCCAGCAGCATGGAAACTGAAATTTGACAGTGCATTGACTGAAATTCCTGCTCGTCAGCTGCTGTGGGAGCACTGGGATGCTGCTAGAGGGGCTGTAGATGAACTGCTTTGGGCAGGGCACTGCTTGGAGGGCAAGTGGCCCTCACCTCTAGAGCTCTGTGCTGGGTGGGAACAGAAGGAAGCTTTAAGACAAATATTTGTAATGAGGGTCTTCAGCCCTTACACTGATGCAGCAATGTCTTCCCAAATTCTGCCTTCCCTGCAGCTGGGGATACGTCCACCCTCGGCTGCTCGGGCTGCCAGAGCTCTGTCATCATTTGGCTGAGGGATGGGTGACTGGGACCAACTTCTTCAGTAACCTCTTCGTTTTCAAGAGGCAAAGTCCTGGCAAGGTAAGAATGTGCAGTTCAGAAATAACCTGTTTGGTGTGGAGCCTCTGCTGACCACGAGGATCCTCCTGTGCTGGCATCCAGCACTGGCTGAACACGTTTCTGATGGGAGGTTGTCATGGGAGGTCTCCCACAGCACCGTGCCTATTATGTGGTGGGGAGGAATGGAAAACCCAGGCAGAATAATCAGGTTGTGGAGGAGGGAGGAGAAAGTGAATGTCAGTGTGTGGATTGCACCACTGAAGTGAGAGCGTGGCTGCTCCTTCTGTAGGTTTCTGGCTTTTCAAGTGTCTGTCAAATTTGTCTCCTCGCTGGGTTTTAACAGTTTGAGAATGTGTCAAGCTTTTTCCTTCTTCTTTTTTTGAGTTTATGGAAAGAGAAGCCTGTAGCACAGTGATATTGTCCTTGTGCTCTTCACCTTGAAGAGCTCTCTAGTTTGACCTCTTCCTTGCTGTTGGTGTCCCTGCTTTGGGAACCTCCTCTTCTGCCTGTGGCTCTGAGGGCAGATACCCCTGTGCCCACATTGGAGCAGGGGGTTGGACACTGTGAAGGCTTCACCCTCCTTGGAACAATGACCTGACCCAGAATTTGCAGAGGCTGACATGGTCAAGAAGTGAGTGCACCTGCTGCTTAACCCTGGAAACTCACTGTCTCTCATGTCTTCAGTTTTGCCTTCTAGTGTGTGGAGTGTTCACTTTCCTGGCTGTCCTGGGCCGGTACATCCCTGGCCTCTTGCTCTCATACCTGCTGTGTAAGTAAATCTCTGTGCCAACACAGACTTACATGTGAAAGGAGATGAGTGGGTGCCAAATGTCCAAGGAATGGGGCTCAAAAGGAAAGCTTGTGTGAATAGGTTTAAAATTTAAAACAATACATTCTGCCAGAATGGGGTGCTTCTTGACCAGGACTCTGGTCTGGAGAGAAGATGTTTGAGTGCTTAGTAACTACAGATCTGAGCACTAACAGGTTGGCCTCTCCATTTTGTTAAATTGGCAGAGGTGATGTGATACAGTAGCCTCCTTGAGCCAGGTCTAATAAGCTCTTGGAGGGCTATAACATACTCAAGATAGCTCAGCTACCCTTGGAGGCATAAAAAACAGCAGGATGGCTTCTATTGCAGTGTTGGAAACAAAAAGATTTAATAAAAGGCAAAATAACAAACAGAGAAAAACTGAGCCAGGTGCCAGAAGTCCTGCTCCTAGTAAAACACCTCCCAAAAGTGATTAGTTTCTTTGTTCACTTCTTTTTCTACTCAATTGCCCAGGCAGGACTTTTTGGCTTCTGTCCAATTAGTTATCCTTACATTTGGGGTGAAGTCCCCATGACCTATGAGGTAGCTTTTTTCACCTAATGGAGGAGAGAAACTTCTAGGCTTCTTTCCTTTCTAAAAGGACAAAAATAGTTTTGTCACTCCGTCAACAAGAAACACACTGCTACAGTGATGGCACCCGCTCCAGCAGCATCCTGAGCACCCTTCTAACCCACATCCCTGCTTCCTGCAGTGCTCCTGGTGCTGCTGTGGCCCCTGGCCGTGTACCACAGGCTGGGGCAGCGCGTGTACCGCAGGCTGGAGCCCGTGCTGCAGCGCCTGGACTTCAGCGTGCGGGGATACGTGACAGCGAGGCAGCGCCAGAGGCAGCGTGAGTCCTGCTGGGGTGGGATCTCAGGGTTTACCTCAGAGCCTCGGGTCCCTCCCCTGATAATTCCCTGCCAGGTGTGTCAGTCACCTCTCCTTTCCCCTCCTAGCACTGTCTGGCAGTCCTGGAATTCCAGAATGATTGGCAGATTCAAAGGATGCCCTCTACCCCTGGAGGGACACTGGGCCATCCAGGTGTCCTTTGTCCCTTGTACCTGGTTGGTGGCTCCCTAGCCCTTCCCTGCCCCTCTCCCCAGGGTTCAAAGGAACAGCAACCACGGGCTCAGGGAGTTCTGTTGGAGCTGGTGCTGGATTCAGAGGCCTGTGGGCCAGAATAAAGCTCTGGATCCAAACCCTCCATCAGAACCAACTCCTTTCCTTCACCGTCGCCTTAAAGCTTCTCCACCAGAGGTAAACCTGAGGAGCAGCCACTGTTACAGGGGGAAGCTCCATCCCACCACCACCAGAGCTCCTGCAGGCCTGGACTTGTCTGCAGTGCCCAGCTGCAACATCCGGTCAGGCAAAAGTGTCTGTGGGGGGAAACACCACACACCCAGCCAGCCAAAAGTGTCTGTGGGGTGAAAACACCACACACCCCAAAGTGTCTCTGGGGTGAAAACACCACAGTGCCGCTGTTTGGTTCAGCAGCAAGGGCCAGACAAACTGAGGCATGTCCCATCTGGCAGTATTGGTAATATTCCAATAGAGTCCTGTGCCCTTTCTGCCCCCAAGGTTTCACACCTGGATCTTTGATCCCTGGAACGGGCTGTGAACAGAGGTTCCGGCCTTGATGGGCGGTAGGGGCTGCATGTCTGGCATGGCAGATCCTTGGGAAGAGAGAGAGGCAGTTCCTCCTCTGCAGCCATCTCCTAGGAAGCAGCTGCTGTGGGCTTTTCACAGCACTGAGCTGCTCCAGTTCTTGGCTGTCAGAACTGTGTGTTCTCTATTCTGGAAAAAGGAAGGAAAGGGGAAAAACAACTCCCTCTGTGCGAGGGAGTTCTGAACATGTTCATTTCAGCAAAAAACCTGCAAATGATCATGGCTCTGCTGTGGAACAGGGCTCTGCTCTGTTAAGTGCAGTTTGGGGGTTTCTGGTCCTGCACAGAGCCTTGCCCAGCAGCAGGAACAGCTTTGTGTGTGGTTTCTAACAGTGCATGGCCGGGCCCTGGGTCAGGAAGCCACGGATGATGGGAGTGACAGTGAAGAGGAGCTGGCTGCATTCTGCCCCAAGGTAATGGAGCTTCTGGGAGAGGAAAGAGCTCAGCTGGAAAGAGCAAACCTCACTGGGGGGGACATGGAGCATCTGGCTGAGATGTGAGCAGCACATCTGGCAGCACAGCTGAGAGTGATAGGAGAGCAGATGAGGACACTGTCCTTTTAGATAGGTCTTTCCCACTCTATTCCACTAAAGAATGTCCAGAGCTGCTTGTGCCAGCTGCAGTCTCCTAGCCTGTGCAGTAAATGTGAATGAGTCTCAGGTACCAGGCTCCCATGGGGTCCAGCTTTAGCTGGAGGGCCACTCCATCATCTGTTTTGTCTTGAGGCATGGGGATAACCTTTCTAGAGCTGATGTTTTCAATTTTATTTTCTATTTCAAAGCTGGATGACTCTGTGGTCGCCAAGGAACTGACCATCTCCGACTCTGAGCATTCAGATGCTGAGGTTTCCTATACTGAAAATGGGATGTTCAACCTTTCCAGGGGCCAGACACCCCTGACAGAGGGATCAGAAGGTGAGAGGGGGCAGCTTCTGGAAGGTGTGGAATGCTAAGCAGGTGCTAGAGGGAGGATGTGTTACCTCCCATCATTGAGGTCTGGCTGTTTGATGTCAGCCTTGCTGCTGGAAATGAGCTACAGCTGCCTGTTTTGTTCAGAACTGAAATTCCTCCTTCATTCCTGTGGTGCTTGAGTGAGGGCAGCAGCTCTGCACAGGCAGATCTGGCTCTGGGTGCTGGGGCTCCCCTCTCACAGGGGGCTGCTTCAGCACCAGTGATCCTTGTCAGTGAGCTGGGAGGATCTGAGCACTTGGGATGAGGGGAGGGAAACATTGAAAAACGTGTGATCTGTGAGCTGCTAACAGTCTGTCCAGGGGAGCTGCTGGCCCAGCTCCTGCCTGGCCCTGTGGGTGCTGGTGAGTCCTGGCAATTAAAGCACTTTCTCCTCTTCCAGACCTGGATGGTCACAGTGACCCAGAAGAATCTTTTGCCAGGGATCTGCCTGACTTCCCTTCCATAAACCCAGAAACAACGGGCATAGATGATGAGGATGACACCAGCATTGGGATCCCGAGCCTGGCGTACCGCCCCCAAGGGACAGAGGATCTGCAGCTCCAGTATGAGCAGGAGGAGTTTGGCACGCTGCCAGCGGTGCAGAACCTCACCAACAACATCGCTGGCTTTGTCACCAGGGGCATGATCCAGCTGGCACTGTCAGGAGGCTCCCAGGCAGGCCCCTCACGCAGCACCAACCCCCAGAGAGGGGCAAAGACTCACCTCAGAGCAGCCAGTTTGGACTTGGACACTGATGCTGAAGGGGATGACTTTGAACTGCTGGATCAGTCCGAGCTGAACCAGCTGGATCCCACTGGCTCCCGGGGCCAGTAAACCATCCTGTCACTTCCCTCTGGTTTTCTATTGTGCATCATGGAGTGAATCCTAGAAGGAAAAGCTTTGCACAGTTCTCTCCTGGGAGTCTGGGTGATGTGACAGCCACTCCTGGCTGGGTGCACCACTGTGACTTGTGACTCCACAGCCTCGCTTGGATCTTCAAATAAAGGACACTGGCAATCTGTAGGGAAGAGGCGTTGATGGGATAGCTCCACAATCACCCTGCACTGTCTGACATGATGCTGCCTGCTCCAAACTTTCTCTAAGACAATAAATCTGGTGTTTGCAGCTCTCAAGTCCAGTGGGACTGACAGCATCGCCAGGAACAATTGTGCACTGAGTTCTGGCACTGATGTGTAACCAGGGGAACAGGACAGAGCCCCTCAGATGTGGTGTCTGGGCCTCAATGCTGTTCTGTCTCAGACAGCTGTTCCCCAATCCTAATATGTGCACAAATCCAAGTCTTCTCTCCTAGCAATATCCAGCTCCAGGTGGAACCAAGCCCCTTGCTCCACTGTGGATGTTGAGCAGCCACAATGTTTTCCTTGCACTGGCTGCTCCCTCGGCTCCAGCTCCTCGTGATGCTGTTTTGTAAGAGCTTAATGGCAATAAGACACCTGCTGTGACCATCAGACCACCTACAAGAACATCCACGTGTAGCCCCTGCTCTTGTGTTGCTTTTCTGAACTAACAGCCTTTGTTAACAGCCAACTAACACTTTGCTAGAAACCCCTGTGCTGCTCCAGTGCGTTCCCGTGGGCAGGGCCGAGGCTGCGCGTTTTCCTGGAGGAAGGAGGAGGTGGAGCAGGGCTCACAGGGTCCTGGTGTGTCCCCTGGGCCCTTGCTGCCTCCAGCCTTGTGCAGGCAGAGCCCGGCAGTGGGAACCGCACAGGGACAGCAGCCCAGACCAGCAGTGACTGAAGAAGTTCGTGCCTGTGAACAAACCAGCAGCCTCCAGGGAGAGCCAGCCCCCCTCTGCCCACCGAGTGCCCCCGTTACTTTTCCTAAGCCATACAGACCCGGTTCTGATCACGTTTGTGCAGCCAAGAACGTACCTCGTCAGGGACCCCGTTACCGGCTGCTGTCTGTCTGATTCTGCTTATCCCACTGCGTCAGCCGTGCCGGGGCTGAGGTCGGGGGCGGGGGAGCGGCCTCGGCCGGGAAGGGGAGCTCGGTAACGGGTACGGGCTGGAGCCCCTTCGCTGGCCGAGTCCGGTGCGGAGGTGGCGGGGGCGAGGGAGCGGGAGCGCCGGTTCCGGCCGGTGAGGGCCGAGCCCTCCGCGGGCTGTGCGCGGGCCCCGTTCCCGCGGGGGCGGGCCGGTACCGGGCGGGGCACGTTCCCCCGCCCATCGCGGTCTGCCCCGCCCTCGCCGCGATTGGCGGGGAGCGGGCGGCGCGCCGGAAGCGCGTGAACGGCGCCAACCGGGAACGGAGCGGGGCTGGAGGCGCGGGATGAGCAAAGGGCGGGAGGCCGCGGCCGGCGGTGAGTGCGGGAGTGGCGGGGGAGCACCGGGCGGCCCCGGGAGGCCGCGGTGACCGGGGCTGGTCCCGCAGGAGGCGCCGCCGCTGTCCTGCTGCGGTACCTGCGGGAGCAGAACCGGCCGTACAGCGCCCAGGATGCCTTCGGGAACCTGCAGCGGGAGCACGGGCTGGGCAAGGCGGTGAGCGGGGCCGGGCCGGGCTGGGGCGGGGCGGGCCCGGGCCCGGCTGACGCCGCCTCCCGCAGGCCGTGGTGAAGGCGCTGGAGCAGCTGGCGCAGCAGGGCCGCGTTCGCGAGAAGGTCTACGGGAAGCAGAAGATCTACTTCGCCGACCAGGTGAGCCCCGGCCTCCGCCGCCGCCCGCCGGCCCCGGTGCCCCGCAGCCCTGACCCGCCGCTCCCCGCAGGAGCAGCTCCCGGCCGCCAGCGATGCGGAGCTCCGCGGGCTGGACGCGGAGATTGCCGAGCGCTCCGGCCAGCTGCAAGCGCTGCAGCAGAGCTGCCGGCACATGGAGGCGGGTGAGTGAGTGTGCCTGGCCCGGCAGCCCCGAGCCACCGCGGCATCCCCAGCCGTGCCCTGGTGCCAGCCCGGGCGGTGATCGGTGCCACCTTCCCAGAGCTGAAGGACTTGAACAGCTCCATGACAACCCCTGAGATTGCCAGGGAGATCGAGGCGCTGAGGAAGGACTGTGCCAGTTACACGGAGAAACTGGAGAGGATTAAATCTGCTACCAACCATGTGACTCCAGAGGAAAAAGAGAAGGTGAACAGCTGCTGTGTCCGAACCGGGGCCAGTGTGGATCCAGGATCCAGCACTTCCCTTACAGGCTTTGCTTGCCCGGGGCTGCCGAGAGCCCTGCAGGGCAGCTCTGACCCGGGGCTGTTGCAGGTGTGCCGGGAGCAGCAGCTGTACCGCCGGGAGTGGCGCCGGAGGAAGAGGATGGTACGGAGGAAGAGGATGGTACCTGGTACCACAGGTGGGCAGTGAGGGCCCCACCGGGACTGCTGCCCACAGCCCGCACGTGCCCTGTCTCACCAGGCCACCGAGCTGCTGGATGCCATCCTGGAAGGCTATCCCAAGAGCAAGAAGCAATTCTTTGTAAGTACCAGGGCTGGGTTGTGCCCACGGCTGCCGAGCCAGACCCTGAGCCTGTTCTGATCTGCTCGGTGCTGTGCAGGAGGAGGTCGGGATAGAGACAGATGAGGACCACGGCGTGGAGCTGCCAGCGACCACGTGAGGTGCTGGGGGAGCCTTTGTTCTGGGGAGAAGCTGCTGCAGAGCTGCCTCTGAAACTCGGCTGTTGGGTTGTTCTTTTTCTCTTTTTGCAGGACTAGGATTTGTCCTGTGTATTTATTTGGGTTTGTTTTAAAATGTTTTGCAGTTGGAAGGGTGGTGGGTAGCAGTAACTTGGCACTGGCCCTCTCCTTGCAGTGGAATATTGTTTTTTCCTGCCCCCAGTGCACGGAGCTGCCTGGCTGGGGGGACACGTGGGGGCACTGGTGCCGTGTCCCTGGTGTTGTGGTAAGGAGAGGCAGCGAGGGACTGTCTGGGCTGCAGAGCTCTGTGTGTGTTCTTGCTGCTTCCTGCTGCGTGCCTGAGTGGTCACATGAGCATATAATCCATTAAACACCAGGATTTTGGTTCAGCTGCACACCCCTGTGGTGTTTGTCTCTTCAGAGGGTGTCAGGGAAGGGTTTAAGCCCTCAGGAGTGGGGAGGGCAGGAGCCAGGAAACCTGAGCCACAGGGGTGGAATGGGCTGCTGGAACCCACCAGCTCTAGGGCACAGCTGCAGGAACTCAGCATCAGAAAAATCATTAAAACATTCAGTGAAATTTATTTAATTACTTTTCACAATAGAAAAATACATCACTTTCACGTGTGAGGTCTGTAAAATTCCACGTCTTCTTCCCAAGGCAGGAGGCACTGCTCCCTCCTCAGTGCTGGAAAAACTGCCTGAAATAAACATTCCCTGGATGTGTCCCTGGAGCAGGAGCACAAACATGGTTATGGAGAACAAACCCTGCTGCTGGCAGCACCCTGGTCCCCTCACTCTGGACAGTGCCCAGCCCTCACCTGGGCAGAGCTGTGACCCAAACTGGGCGTGGGACAGGGTCAAACATGTCCCTGATAGCAGCTGCTTCTACAGCTGGCACAGGCAGCACTCTGGGACCATTTCAAAATTAACAATAATAAAAATCCAATCGAGGCTGGTCATATATGTGTGTGTATAAAAGTTCTGAGGAGGAGCAGTAAGTGCACATGGCCATGCTATGCTACAGCTGCAAAACTTTCCTGTGCAATACAGCCACAGTTTCTGAAAAGGAGAGGTGTTCCTCTGTTCCTTCCCAGGGCTGCAGCAGAACTGGGGTTCATCAAGGCCCTAGCATGTGCTGCCAGGGCCACAGCTCCCAGCTCTTGATGGGCTCCTCCAAAATGCAACTCAAACCAGCTGCTTCAGAGGGGCAGGGCACAGCCCAGAGGGTCAGGGAAAAGCAATTCCTGCTACTATACCAGAAACCCTTTGTTTTTAGTATACATTTGTCACATTTGCCCACCTTGGGGACAGCAGGGCTGTCACAGGCCTGAGGGCACAGAGTGGAGCTGCTCTGGGATCAGCTCTGCAAGGAGAGTCAGTGGCACAGGCAACCCCATGGCACTGCCTGAGCCAGAGACTCTGCCCCCCACCTTTCCCTCCCCTCCTGCCCAGTCCCTGTCAAGATTTGGTGGCACCGAGTGGAGCAGCAGTGTTTGCACAGCCACCGTTGGGCTTCAGAAGGAATACAATAAATAATTCAGAGAACCTTAAAAACAGCCACAAGGGAGAGGGCCCAGGGTGGTGCCTGGCACCCTGGCCTCTGGCAGAAGTGCCCCATCCCCACGGGCACAGAAGTGGCACGGGAGGCTCAGTAGAGCTGGCTCTTCACCTTGTGCAGGACCCCGATGACAACGTCCCGCAGCGTCTGTGGCAGAGAGAGGACACGGTCAGCTGGTCTGTGGAGGGACAGCCACCCCTGTGCCACCGTCTCTGTCCCCTCAGCCACGCCACCAGCCCCTCTGCATTCACCTGGGGCTTGCAGTGCTCCTCAATCCAGCTGAAGACACACGCTGAGAGCTCCTGAAAACTCGTTACAGAGACTGAGGCGTTGAAGGACTGGAACAGGGAGTCCATGATGCCTTGGAAAACATTGAACTTCAGCTCGTCAGAGATCTGGTTCTTCCCCTCGTTCGGGTTGTTCTGATGAGCCTTCACAATCTGCTCATAGTTCCTGAAACAAGCACAGCACACCAAGGTCAGCAGTGAGGTCTCCACATGTGACTCTGAGCTCCCACTCCCAGCTCTGAATTCCCACACCAGCTCCTGCTCCTGGTTCCCAGCTCCAGGCCTGTCCCCAGATGCAGAACCACTGCAGGACCCCACAAGGATGTGAGGGAACAACAGCAAGTAGAGGACATGACCCCAACAGCTCTTCCCTTACACTTTCATGATCTTCAAGGCCATCACGTCTTTCCTGAGGGTAGAAACTTCCTCCTCCTGCTTTTTCTTCTCCTTGTGCAGGAACTGGATGTAGTCAATAGCTGAGCACAAAAACACAGAGTGAGGATTTGGGAGCACACATGAGATCCCCACAGGAGGTGCCCGAGCCAGGGCTCCATCAGCTCCACTGACCCAGTTCCCTTGGAGTGCAGGTGAGCAGCACCCAGGCTCCCCAGAGCCTCATCACACCAGAAGGTTCCAAGGTGCTGAACTTTGCCCTGCACACCTCTAGGGCGGAGCTTTGGGGGTTGACAGCACCTCCTTCCCTCCTGCCCTTGGACTCACTTTTCTGCAGCACAATGGCCTTGCTCAGCTTCTGCGAGCTGATGGAGAAATCCTGCTGCTCACAGGTGGGGACGATGGCCTGCAGGTCATTGTAGCCTTTCTGCCGGGAAGCAGAGCCACGGCGTGTGGTGGGCTCATCCATCCTGTGAGGCCAGGAGCACACCCAGCTCCCACAGCACAGAGCCAGGGCAGCTCCCAGCACACACAGAGCAGGGATCTGGCAGCTCCAGCAGCAGAACAGAAGTGCTGGGAGAGCAGAGCCCTGCAGCACTGCCTGCTGCCTCATGCCTCGCTCACCTTGATGGCATCCCGGCGTTTCTGCTCGGCCTGGGTGTGTGCCCGGCGGCGCTGGTCCTTGTAGGTCTCCTTTGGGGACTCCTGGGCACAGTCACTGTCCTCATCATCTGTGGGGACACAGTGGGGCTGGGCGCGGGACACAGAGGCACCACGAGGGGCACAAGACTGCTCAAGGGACCATACAGCTGCAGCCAGGCCCAGCATAGCCCCCATTCAACTACAGCAGGCCGGGCAGAAAAGCCTTCTAAGGAGCCCTGGCAATACTTTCAGTCTCCTCAGGGAGCTGGGCAGGAGGCAGATGCCGGGAGCTCCCTTGGGAAGGTGACAAAACCAGAGTGATTCTCGACTCCAAACCCTGCTGGAAAGCACAGAACCCTGACGCTGCTCCCACCACCTTCCTCCTCCTTGTCAGGACAAGAATCCTGCCCAGCCACGCTCACCCCCTCGGTGCAGGGCAGACCTGAAGCCCGACATGTGCCGGATTCCCCAGCGAGCAGAACAGCGCTGTCACGGAGAGCAAACCCCACCTGTGTTGGGGACAGAAGAGGCACTGGTGGAGCCGATGCTGTTGGCCCGGGACACTATGCTGCCTTTCCGGGCATTTTCCATGAAGAGAGCTGGAATTAAGATTGTCCCGGGGTCAGTGCCCAGCTCGGGGTGTGACCGGGCGCGGGGACGTGAGGGGCGTCCCCGGGCAGCCGCTGCCACCCACGGACGGGGTTGGCGCGGGCCGGGCGCCGCCCGGGCACCTACCGGAGTCCAGGCCATTGTCGCCGTAGGCTGCGTCCACCTGCGCGGGGCCGGAGGGCGGAGGAGACACGTCAGCGGGGCTGGGCGGCCACCGCGGCCGCGCCCCGGAGCCCCCCCGCTCTCAGGAGCTCGGTCAGCCCGAGGAGAACCCGCCACCCCCGAGCCGCGGCC